AACCCTATGGGAAGAGTTGCAATGCACTGGTTGACCAGCAGATGCCACCAGAAAAAACGCTGACTGGCCCTTTAATATAATTCATGTCATATCATAATACCGAGATTTGGAAGACATTTTGGAATTTAGACACAGTTCTAAGAAGAAATCATACACTATTTTCTTTTTTTTTTTTTTTAAAAAAAAATTGGTTTAAGATAAAGATTTTAACATTTAAAGGAGCAATAAGCGAAATTCATCATTTCTAGATTGAAGGAATTAAAAAAATTGCTATGTGAAGAACTAGAGGTGTAATTTCATCTGGAGTATAGCATGACCTCACACACCCTCTCTCTGTGTTGATCTCCAGCCCATTGTTTACAAGCCGGTCTGGCTGCACGTTCATGTACGTTCATGTGAATCATGGCGGGCAGCCTGGCGGGCAGCGTGGCAGGCTACATTTTACAATGCTAATTGCGGAGAAGAATAGGAACGTTAGCGTGGCAGCCGACTAGTGCTAACGCTAACGTCCCTACTCTTCTCCGTGAGCCTGGTGGGCTCTGGCAGTGGTCTACAGGCAGTGCACATCAGCAAACCTAGCAGTGAAACGATTTCGCTTTTTGCCCCTTTAACATTCCTTCATCATCATTCTTCCCTCCAAATATACAAAAAATGCTTGAACTTTCTTCACTTCAAGATAAAATAAATAAAAATAACATATATATATTTTAAAAAATAGTTAAAGATAAAGATTTTAACATTTAACATTCCTTTATCTCTCCCCTCCCTCCAAAACTACTGAAAATATTATTGGTGTAAGATTAAAAAAAAACAAAACATTTAACATCACTCTCACGATTCACAAGTCACGACTGGACCGGGCTACTGGTGCTGAATCAGAATCAGAATCAGAAATACTTTATTGATCCCCGAGGGGAAATTATTTATGTTACAGGTGCTCCTTGCAAGAGAGGAAAGATACGTGAAAATATAAGAAATTTAAACAATAGTATTTACAAATATACAGTTAAATAAACAGGAAGTATTAACAAACATAAACATATATATATATATATATATA